CGCCTCTTCTCGCGTGCTACGATTGTCTGGGAGGCATTCAAAGAGGGCGATAAGAGCGGGAAGATTTATGTCATCAAGGACGCCTGGAGGCAGGGCGCTCGGCGCTTCGAGGAGGAGTTCTACAAAGACATTCGTGAGGGCGTCGCGGGGCAGCGCAAGCTCCAGGAGCTGTGCGATATTGCAGAAGAGGAACTCCAGTTGCGCGGACTGGCGGAGCTCGAGTACGCCATCGATCTTGGCGAGGAGGAAATGAACTCGCACACGAACCAAGACCGGAATGATCCGGCGTCGCCTGCACCATCGTCCTTTGACGGCCAGCCTTTGTCCGACGACAATCTCTTTGGCCCTCCTGCGTACAATACAGACCAGCACGAGTCTGCACCCTCGCCGCCACCTCCATACGAATCCGACGACGAGGCTCCGCCGCCTTACGAGTCGGGGCACTGCACTGCATCAGCTGCAGTTGTCGATGAGAATATGGCCAAGTACAATGAGCGAAGCCACACGCGCCTGGTGATGAAGACCGTCGGTCGGCCCATCCAAGATTTTAGTAGCACGAGAGAGTTGGTCGAGGCATTGCATGATGCGATTGAAGGTATGGCAATTTCAGTCATGTTTGATGCATGTTGCTAAACCTCACTGCACCAGGTCACGGCATCGCATACAAAGCTGGTGTCTTGCACCGGGATGTCAGTGAAGGGAATGTCCTCATCGCTGAGGGTGCTCCGTTCAAAGGCTTCATTAGCGATTTTGATTATAGCTTCAGCTGGAAACGATTTTTGCGAGAGCGCGGCTGGAAAGATACTCTAGAGAGTTGGCAACACTATATTAAGACGCTTGAAGGCATTCCGGACGAGAGCGTCAAGACAAAGGTATCTCAGGAAGACTTGAAGGAAAGCGAGATGCGGAATGGCCTTAAAGAAAGAACAGTATGTGGTCAGAATTGCAAGTGGTGTCTGATAATGCTCACAGAGTCTACCAGGGAACATTCTACTTCATGGGGATTGAAATTCTGCAAGGCGACATTGTCCATGACGCATGTCATGATTTGGAATCCTTCTACTGGCTCCTTGTGTGGCTGGTCCTGCGGCATACAGATCATGAGCACAAAGCTGGCAATTTAGCGTGTTCAAGATTGTTCGATGCGGATCATGAGTGGTCGTGCGGGGCGAACAAGGTTGACTGGTTGCGAAATTCTCAGCCCGTCAGTGTACGGGGAAATGCACCTCTCACACACTTGTTAGCGGAACTCACATCGCAATGCTTCCTCAACATTCCTCAGCACAAATCCATACAGATTGTACCTCTCACCCACGAGCGTATTCTGGCTGCTTTCGATGAGGCACTGGCGATGGATGGATGGCCAAGGAACGATGCAGCTCGCCCATATAAAATGCCAAATACAACTGCCACTCGCGTTGACGTACGGCTACCTTCACAGAGCATTGGGAGGAAGACGGGAGGCAAGGCACCTTCCAGTCGCTCGAAACCGTCATCTGCAGCAGGTAGACCGCCTCGCTCCCAATGTGGGGGATATCCATTCCTAGCGACAGGCAGCCTGGTCCAAGAGAGGAAGCCAGTAAGCAAGGCACAGACTGAGAAAGCTAATCATGACAAGCCAATCAGTAGGACGTCACAGTCTAGCAAACGCACCATCAGTGCCATAGAGCGGGACGTTAGACGTTCTCAGCCTCAGCCGATGATAGCAAGCACCAACTCGTGGTCTTTGATGCCATCAGCCACTGGGCCGACTACATCGTCTGTTACTCAGAGTTCTGTTCAGTCGCGTCAGACCAGTCTCTTTCAAGCATCGCCTACCAGCAGCACGAAGCGCACACGCGATGCTATGGACAAAGAAAACCACTCACCATCGAAGAGGAGGAAGAGCGCGAGCGGAAGGCAGTCTACCATCGACAGACTTTGATCTGCCCATTTTGCATGCCCTCCCGTCATTATTGTTGCTAGTATATCCTTATTGCCTCTCCAGCACCTTCGAGTTTCTGTACCATGCATAGTATACCTAGTTCCATTCTTCTTGGGACTTAGGATCTTAGATTGTATCTCCTGTGATAGCGATGTTTTCCCCCGCCAGTATCTTGCGTACCTGTTTTCTTGTCATTCAATTCCGCTCATATATACCCATAGTCATTCCAGCAGGAATTCAACACAAGTTTTGACTCATATTGGAACGATATTTGAGGTCATGGAATGGGTTTGGAAGAGCTCATTTCAGCATGGAAATGAGACAATGAAGCAATAAGAGGGCTGCGGGAACAGAGGTAATATGCCGTTGAAACTAGTCTGAGTTTAGGTCAACGCGACGCAGTGGCAGCTGGCAGCAAGCCGAATGCGAGCGCTTGATAGCTGCTCAGTTGGTCCGACGAGCATATCAGACGTCTGCCGCGTCACTCGATGACTCTTTCAGCAAGCAACGTACACTGTACAGCCAGAGGGGATACCGGGTCTCGAATGACTAGCATACTCAACCGTGGACGCGTCGACAGAACAACACTGGACTGAAGACGCCAATTGCAATATACTTTCTACATTTTCTACTGGCAGTGGTAATCTATCGTGAGTAATTGTCGCAAACCACGATGATGGCAGTGCCAGCAGCGTCCGACCAGTATTCCAACGGGAGTGGGACCTACACGTTCTTTGAAATCTACACATGACAATTGCTGTCTACTCGCTCTCAACTTGTCGATTCTACACCGTTGTCAAACAAAGTGGCCTCGAATTGTCCACTGTCTCCGCAGGATTGTATGGCTATAATGTCTGGGCTGCATGTCATGAGGATCTGGCTCTCTTCCAGGATTCCGGCTTGCCTGGAGGCATTAGCCAGAAGTATCCTGACTCTGCTCCTTACTCCTTGCTTCTTGCTTGACTATGGTCGCTCTTCAAATTGCAGCGATTTGCGGATCTGTTCGCTCCTCTCGGAAGCCTGAATCTGCTCTCGAAACACCACATATTTCTTGTCAAATCTGTTTGAAAAATTTGAACGAAGTGTCAAGCATCTCAGGCCCATGATATCGAAGGGGTTATGGATGCTCGAAGAGTTCGAAGATGGACTGGAAGACAAACTAGTACACCCAATATCATTCTATGACTTGATCATATTTTTATCCCTTCCACAGAACAATACTTTGCAGTAGCTAATCAAAGCGGCACAGGAAGGAGCGTTCGATCCGTGCGTTGGTCGTCTGTATTTTTGCAGCGAATCTCGCATCTCTTCATACGACTTCATTAGTAAGTATTCTGCAGCCTTCACATTTCCTCTGATAAGCGACTAGACAAAATTTATAAACCTCACAGGTCCATATAGGCGGCGGGATGTCTGAACATCCGGCGTAGTCTGAGTCAGTGCTTTACGCTCGATCTACATGCTGTACAGTCTTACTTATGATCTATTCTCTTTATCCAGATGACGCTGCATCTGCCTTAGTACAATTGATTTGGAGCATGAGATTCTGCTGGTCATCGCAGACCTGCCGTGGGCTTTCAAATTTGGAAACACAGGTTTGAAGAGGACTACCAGTACCCCGCCTTTCGACTCCATGAAGTAGACATGCCGCAAGCCATATAACAACACTCCCTATGTCTTTAGTGTTTGAGCTCGGAAGCAGACTCGAGCTTCATCGTAGGTAAATCGATGACACGCAGCTGCAAGCATACAGATGCTAGCCAAAGCAACACCTGTAAGCCCCCATATAGGCTGGATTCAACCGTGCCGGTGAGCGCATCATCCTCATGTAACCATTTCTAATCCTGGATGAAGCTCGTCTGCTCAAGCAGCATTGATCGGCTTCCTTAGTGCTTGCAGTGTGTAGGAGAAGTCGAGCTCGCGAATTTGATTCAATTTCAGGGTTGGAAACGTAGATTTCCTCGTGGTCACATTGTGGTTCTGGGGTCCCAACCTTTGGAGCCGCATATATATTTATCTAGTCTTTGATAACTCTTCGTTCTCTCCACACCAGATGGTCCCTCATCGTGCCTTCGAATGCGATGACATCCTTGCTGAGGTATCCTACCACCTCCGTCCTGCGGCACCTGAATATGACCCAGCTTCTCTCCGTTTCTTGAGGCACACGCTGACGTGCGCTGCCCGTGTCTGTAGGGCGTTCTCTCATGCGTTGGACAATCTTTGGTGGGAGATTCCTGCAGAGTCATGTGCGCTTAGGATTCTATGTTCTTTCAAGTCATCATATCATGATATGTATGAAATAATGCTTGTGTGTGTGGTGCTCCTTTGTATCCCAGCCCAAATTCATACTTGTGCAGCAGTCTTTTAAGCCAGAATCCACACCGCATGAGCTGAACAGGCTTCGCCAGTATGTCACACGTGTCCGTCAAGCGACCGTATCTGCAGAGCTGGGGCAGGGCCGTCGCGGCTCCGTCATGATGCGTGTTGCCGAGCTGTTAGGTGGATCTCTTTTCCCTAACCTCGTGTCTTTGAATTGGACATTATCCGGGACTCAATTCGATGGAAGCATAGAGGAGATTCTCAACCCTTTGGCCAGTCCGACTCTTTGCTGCTTGACTGTCAACCGCACATACGTAGGACGACGACTTCCGCCTGAATGGCAATATCCCTTCGAACGTGCGATGCTGAATATCCTACCAACTTTCGTCGTAAAATCACCTCTCCTTCGGCGTATTGATCTCGATGGAAGGTGGAGAGCCTTCAGTATAGCGACGCTTGTGCTAGGATCCCTGAAGCATCTAGGCACCCTGTCCATTGGTGTCAGGCTCAATCCTCGCGACGTAGCCACTTTACTCGCAGCTTCAAATTCTCATAACCTGGTGGACCTCAGTCTTTCCCTGCTCTACGATGACTATGTTAGAAAATTGGAGGATACATCAATACCTTCAGTACTCGAATTATCCACAAATTGCTCATGTTTCCGCGGACTACGTAGCTTGAAAATCCATGGAGGACATGATGCTGTGAGCCGCTTTCTCCAAGCGTGCGAGTGGCCTGATGTTCAGACGTTCGGTTCATCCGATTCAAAAAATGGATTGATACCACGCCGATTGTCTACCATGCTCCAATTCCACATGACTATTGCCTCCTCTTTCTCGAGATCCCTAACGAACCTGTCTTTAGAGACGAGGTGATGTGTGGACCTCACGCAGGCTCTCTCACCACTACGCGAACTCCATCTTCTGCGCGTCATCGACATTCGCTTCAAATATTCTACTGTTCATGCTGCCGCCGAGCTGCACAATATTTCACTTGGCTGGCCAGAGCTCGAGGAATTCCACCTGTATCACATGTCCGTGTTTACCCCAGAGTATCCGATCGATGCCATCCAAGCTCTGTTTGAGTTAGCATCTGCATGCCCGCAGCTGCGTATCATCAGTTTACCTGCGATGAAGCATACGCTAGGTTCTAAAATCGACACGCATGGCCTTGCATCGCATAGTCTTCAGAAAATCTACATTCATAGTGCAAATCTACCTGAGGACGAACTGAGCTCTGACGACGTGCTGCAAGCAGCATCTCTCCTCGAGCCCGTATTTCCAAAGCTGCACTTACGAGCACGATTCTGAGACGCCTTTGCAGAAGAACTGGACGATGATACTTGCAGATATGAGTTTCATTCGACGTCAGAGACAACTTGTAGGGTGAGTTACATATGCTAGCGTACAGTCCAAGATTCGCACTTTCCCTCTCAGGTAGATGTCGTTGTCCTGTTGTGCCCATCTAGTCGATGATTTCCAAGTTCTGTAGCGAAGAACGGCAATTGCTCTGTACTTCGTGTGTTTACTGCTATGCTGCATGAATGGAACGATGCCCTCAGTGACCATTAGAAGCATTAAATTCATAGTAGACGGTGACGTAGAACTAATCGCATCCGGCTCTCATGTTCGAGCTCTGGTCGGAGAAGTTGCCCCATGCTCGCGATACGGTTGGTGTCGACCAGACGCGACGAGTCGGAAGCATTTTTTGCATATAAAAATGAATAAACGGATGGCACTTGCCGTACCGTGCTTTTTTGAGTAGAAGAGGTTACTCTCCCGGCGCCGAACAAAACTGACTTGATCAAACAGCATCCTCCACCTCTATTTCAATGACATCTGTTGAGGTGTACGAGCCAGCAAGGGACGAAACGCACCTAATATCTCTCTATCAAGTTCAATATACCGAACATTGGGCTTTGAAACGAGGGTTGGTACAACATCCGCCTAAAGACGTCCGACACGAATTATGAACTAGGCCAAGCCTGCGGTAAATACTGAAAGTCAAACGTCGGAGGCTGCGCGCATCAAGGCAAACACGGTGAACACGGGCACATCGGACAGGATGTCCTAAGCGAACTGCGAGCACCATTGCTCACGCATGGTGCTCGACACGAGTGCCCGAGACACCAGGCGGGGAGCGATTTGCGACACTGCACTGAGCTGACCACCGTCTCCCGAACACGTCAGGATAGTTGACGCGGCAAGTGATTCAAGCCAGGGCCGCAAGGCACAAACTTGAAAGAGATACCTGCTAGCCATGTACTGGCGGAATCCCTAGCCGCCCTCGTGTGGCTGGGATGGGTCAAGTCAGCATTTGCTGACGATCAAAGACTCGGATAGGAGACATAAATACATATATACTGCTCATCTAGGAGCTTCCAGAGTACATCGATGAAGTTATCCGCAGGCGAAGACAGGACAACAGGGCTAATGTGATATGAGGTAAATTCGTCCATGTCTTGTAGCATCAGTTTTGGAAAAATAGACTCAATCTGAGCCGCCAGAGCTGCGATATCCTCGCTCGGGGAGCCATAATGTCCCGGGTGAGAGACTGTAACCTCCTGCAAATTGTGCGACAAAAGGCCATGCAAGTCGAGATGGGGGCTCAAAGGAAGTCCAACGCAGTCTAAGTTCATGGATTGCAAGCGTGGACAGGCAGATGCTACCTCGAGCAGGATCTGCAGCGATATGGTCTCGTTGTTTCGACATATCTTCAAAGTTTCGAGATCGGGCCAATTGAGAGCAATGTCATGGAGTACACTGATGCCCGTAGAAGCTAACATGACGGTTGAATCGATGGAGCGCAGCAGATAAAAGCAGCACAGAGGAGAGAAAAGTTGTGTTGGGGGGATTTCGCAATTTTCAAGGAGGTAGACGGCGTGGGAAAATGTTATTTGCCTCAGCAACTGTGAGACTGAGGCTGCAACTTGTGATATCGAGGAATGCAGACAGATTGTACGACGAAGAGTATGTGGGGTCTGCATAGAGCACACAGAGTGCAGGCCAGTCGCAATTCCAGATGAGACCTGTCGCTATAGTGGGCGGTAAAGAGATGTCCAATGTGTGCAGTGAGTGAAAGCATCCATGTGTTCTAAGCAACAATGGGTTATAATCGTCCCATTCTTCATCTGTCCCAAGGTGAAGATTGGCGAGACTAGGCAACGTCAAAAGTGCATTGAGGATCGCGTCATCGAGAAAGTGCATCTCGACTTGTTTTGTCTTGAGATGCTTGAATGCGCCAATAAAACGGAGCGCACATTCAGGATTCCATGCCGCGTACACGTCTTCGACGTATCCACAGCATTCGCAGACAAAGTCACTGGGAGAGTAGGGCTTCCGACGTGCATCGTTGAGCTTGATAGTCTGAATGCGAGGCCATCCTGCGGCAAATGCTGGTACAAGATTTGACAGCTGGAGATAGAAATCATTTTCCATACTTTCAGAGAGCTCCAGTGGGGAGCTCAAGGTAAGAGTCCGAAGGGTTGAGCCTATCATGCACAGCAACACTCGGCCCACATTCACTGATGGTGAGAGCACTTTGTTTGCATTCCATGTCAAGTGCATGAGATTAGGAAAGAGGGATTCGCCCAGCTGAACAACGAGACGCTGGATGACGGGGAGGCAAGCATCTGATTGTGATTCCTCCTCTATGCAGGTACTGCGCACACGAACAGCATACTGACGAAACCGGTCCAAATCATAGGTATGGATTTCGCCGTCAATTGACTGCTAGTTGTGAGGAAAAGGAAAGTGAGTGGCATTGAACTATGCACATATTTCCACTCATTGAATAGCATTCGGTGGGCAGAGCTACAACTAGCGACATGGCTGGCTTTGAAGGTGGGCAAGATTTTGAGGGCAGCACGCTCGGATGGTATCTGCCACCAGAGAGAGTTGAGGGCATGATGCGAGAATGCCTTGCTCACGACGGCCGCACTCTTGAGGGTCTGCTTTACTTGTGCAACATCGGGCAGAGTGGGCCAATGACTCGTGTCAGAATGGAGACGGCAGAAAATCTCTTCGAGAATGTCGTTACATTCGAAGATGCGGTGAGGCATTAGGGATGGGTCGGGACAGGAATAGTGCAAATATGAAGATTTGAATCCACCGAGCTTCAGTTGGATCGCGCTTGTGGCAGATTTCATTCTCCGACATAATTATGAACGCGACGCGACGCGCGAACTTTTCCTTCAGTCTCTCTTTCACCTTTCCTCGATCATACATACTAAGATGGTACGCCAGCCTCATACACTCTGAAACGATTCTGCTGCCTTACATCCATTGCTAGTCATCACGCGGTGCCAAACGTCGTCGGTCCATCACTCCCCCGCCAGGCTCGTCGCCCGTAGGACGACCCGGTCTAGCGCGACGCGACTCCGACTCTTCTCTCCCGCCCTCCTCTCCTCTCGCTCCGTTTTCTGACACGGATGATAGCTTGGACGAGCGTGACGCAGTAAGAGACGTAGACGATGCAGAGGACGACGAGGGCGAGGACCTCTTTAACGAAAATCTGGACGAGTGAGCAGAGCGTTCAGTCGCTTTCTCTACTTCGAATTCAGATCTGAGCATCGATTTATACAGCGATTATGCAACGAACGAGTTACTCGACAGATACTCGGACTCGGGTCTCAACGACGAGGAAGATTTTGAGGGCCTGTCTGCGGCGGCGAGGCGCGCTGCAGAGGCACAGATGGCGAGGCGAGATCGCCAAGAGCAGAGTGGACGTCGGGGAGGGAGAGCAGCACGGAGGTCACGCATGCCTAACTTCCTGCAGAGCGACGATGTGGAGGACGACGACGACGACCGCGGTCTGCTAGCTGGGACCAAAAGGCGAACCAGGAGGCAGTACGATGAAAGGAAAGAGATGGACGATATGGATGGCGTCGAAGACGTGAGTGGCTGCTTTTGTGGGTCTAGGCTAGACTAAAATCTCGCGTAGGAGATACCCATCGAACAACTAAGCGACATCAAGGCCAAGTCCATCGTGGAGTGGATTGCCAACGAACGCGTCCGTCGCTCGATCATCCGCCACTTCCGCCAATTCCTGATGACATACGTTGACGAACACGGTGCTTCAGTTTATGGCCAGCGGATTCGGAATCTGGGTGAAAGTGGGTCTGTGCATCTGCTCGTCGTGTTATATCTCTGATTTTGGTCATGAAGACAACTCGGAGTCTCTTGAAGTATCCTATCTGCACCTTGCATTATCTAAACCCATATTGGCGTATTTTCTAACGAATTCGCCCAGTGCCATGCTCTCGATCTTTGACGAAGTCGCTCTCAACGCCATCCTTGTTTACTATCCATCTTATGAGCGCATTCACTCCGAGGTGCACGTCCGAATCACGGATCTCCCCCTTAGCTCTTCACTCCGTGATCTTCGTCGATCAAATTTGAACAATCTTGTTCGAGTATCTGGTGTCGTGACCCGGCGAACGGGCGTCTTCCCACAATTGAAGTACGTGAAATTTGATTGTAGGAAGTGCGGGGCAGTCCTTGGGCCATTCTACCAGGACGCTACGAAGGAGGTCCGGGTCAGCTACTGTCCTAGCTGCGAGGGAAAAGGGCCGTTTACGGTGAACTCAGAGCAGGTGGGTCTCCAGCCCATATACAATAAAATCACGGACAGAATGCTGTGGACCCCCAGACCGTATATCGCAATTACCAGAAAATGACCTTGCAAGAATCGCCGGGTTCGGTGCCCCCAGGTCGTCTACCTAGGCACCGTGAAGTCATCCTGCTATGGGATCTGATTGACTCTGCCAAGCCAGGCGAGGAGATTGTGGGCTGCTCCCCCTTGACTGCCATTTTGTGTCCGCTGACCGCTGCGCAGGAAGTGACGGGTATATACCGCAATAATTTCGACGCATCGCTCAACTCGAAGAACGGCTTCCCTGTGTTTTCGACGATCATCGAGGCGAATCACATCAACAAGAAAGAGGACCAGTTCGCCGCGTTCCGTCTGACTGAGGAAGACGAGCGGGAGATTCGCGCACTCGCGCGAGACGACAGAATCCGGAAGCGCATCGTCAAGTCGATTGCGCCGTCCATATATGGACACGAGGATATCAAAACGGCGCTCGCATTGTCCCTCTTTGGTGGTGTTCCGAAGGATATTAACCGCAAGCATCGTATCCGCGGCGATATCAACGTGCTGCTCCTCGGTGACCCCGGGACGGCAAAGTCCCAGTTCCTGAAGTACGTGGAGAAGACCGCACACCGATCGGTGTTTGCGACGGGGCAGGGTGCGTCTGCGGTTGGCCTGACGGCGAGCGTGCGCAAGGACCCGGTGACGCGCGAGTGGACGCTTGAGGGCGGGGCGCTGGTGCTCGCGGACAAGGGGACGTGTCTTATCGACGAGTTTGACAAAATGAACGACGCCGACCGGACCTCGATCCACGAGGCGATGGAGCAGCAGTCGATCTCGATCTCCAAGGCGGGGATTGTGACGACCCTGCAGGCACGCTGCGCCATCGTCGCCGCGGCGAACCCGATCCGCGGGCGGTACAACCCGACGATTCCGTTCCAGCAGAATGTTGAGCTCACGGAGCCGATCTTGTCGCGGTTCGACGTGCTGTGCGTGGTGAAGGACACGGTGGACCCCGTCCAGGACGAACTGCTCGCCCGCTTCGTGGTAGGCAGCCATCTCAGGAGCCATCCAAAGTTTGATCATGAGCGGGACGAGATCCAGGTGGCGACGTCGCTGGACGCTGACGTGCGTCGTTCGTGTCGCTCCCCAGCTGGGCCTGACGTCTCTGCAGATTATCTCGCAAGACCTCCTTCGCAAGTATATCATGTATGCACGGGAGAAGATTCGCCCGAAGCTGTATGATCTCGACCAGGAGAAGCTTTCGCGGCTCTTCGCGGACCTGCGGCGCGAGTCTCTGGCCACGGGCTCGTACCCGATCACGGTGCGTCATTTGGAGAGCATGATCCGCATGTCGGAGGCGAGCGCGAAGATGGCGCTGCGGGAGTACGTCCGCGCGGACGACATCGACCTCGCGATCTCGGTCACTGTGGGCAGCTTTGTCAGTGCGCAGAAGATGTCCATCAAGAAGACGCTCGAGCGGGTGGGTGGTCGTTGCGCGTCGTGCGGGCGTGCGGCGGGCTGACTGACGCGGTGTCCCTGCAGGGCTTCCGCAAGTACCTCACGCAGGCGCGCGACCACGAAGAGCTGCTGGCGTTCCTCCTGGGCCACATCGTGAAGGAGAAGGCGCGGTTTTATCAGCTGCAGCGCCACCAGCAGCCGGAGGCCATCTCCGTCAAGGTTGCCGAGCTTGATGAGCGCGTACGTTCAGTTGCCACTCTCTCGTTTTGGCGTGCCTGATGAAAGTGAGCGCAGGCGAAAGAGCACGATATCTTTGATACGACGCCGTTTTTGCGCTCGAAGCTCTTTGCCGCGAATGGGTACAAGTTGAGAGACGATGTGATTGAGAAGAGTTTCCTCCATGCGGGGTAGATGTGTGCCCAACGATGGGCTGGGCTGGGTGCAGACGGCGCGACGCCGTTGTTTTCGGTTTTTTTTTTTTTTTTTTTTCTTTT